CGTGTAACAGTCCCGCCTATCGAGTGTAGCTAACAGTCTTCCACAGCAAACTATGCAAGGCCTACGCCCAGCTCGGCGCACGCGGCGTCTCCGTCCTCTTTGCCTCCGGCGACAGTGGCGTCGGCTGCCAAGACAGCAACACCACCCTCTTCCAGCCGACCTTCCCCTCCAACTGCCCCTACGTGACGTCCGTCGGCGGCACCGCCGGCTCTGGCCCAGAGACGGCCTGGGCGGGGTCCTCTGGCGGTTTCTCCAACTACTACGCCGCGCCGTCCTACCAGGCCTCCGCGGTCGACGGCTACCTCACCGCGCACACGACCTCGGCCAACTACAACGCGACGGTGGGCAAGTACAACCCCGTCGGGCGCGGGTTCCCGGACGTGTCGGCGAAGGCGGACGACTACCGCGTGCAGGAGACGTCGATCGCGAGCATCTACGGAACGAGCGCGTCGACGCCCGTGTTCGCGAGCATCATCGCGCTGATCAACGACAGGCTGTCGGTGAAGGGCAAGCCGCCGCTGGGATTCCTGAATCCGTGGCTGTACTCGACGGGCAAGAGCGCGTTCACGGACATCACTAAGGGCAATAACTCGATCGAGTGTAACGGGGAGACGGCTGGCTTTGAGGCCGTCGAGGGCTGGGATCCCGTACGTCTACTAGTTTTCTATGTTTTGTTCTACGAGGTGCTCATCGCGCATTCGTTTGTTTCAGGTTACCGGCCTCGGCACACCCGACTTCAACAAGCTCCTCAAGACGGTCGGGCTATAGAACGCTACGCAGTGGTTCATTGTCTGACATGTTAGTCGCTTCTCGTCTTTCAATCAGAGACGCCTATGGTGCACGTTTGATGATTTATCCGAATTGTGGCGACATTGCCTCTCTTAGCACGGGTATTCAACCGTGCAAATGTGAACCTGGCCTACGGACACCGACTAGTCAGACCCCTCTGCATTATTCTACGAGGCAGCGGTGCTCTTCAGATGGTGTCGAGCGTATCATGTCGATATAACCGTTTGTATCTGCGTGAAAACGGTGTGGCGTCGAGTTGTGACCGCACTTTGAGTGGCAGCGCAGATTCCAGTAAGTCCACAGAACTGTTAGACTAAGCTATGACGAGCACTGAAAGAAGATATATACCCTGGGGCATTGAGCTAGTAGCAGGCATCAAGCGTTGTCGGCAGTCGAGTATTGCGTGTAACGGAGGCTAAGCCGCTCGAGGCTTGGAGTGGACTGGCCCTTTGTGGTAGCGACCCAATAAGCTAAAGCCACCATCGTTGCCTGAGCCGATAATCATGCAGGACATTAGGGTCCCTTCAGCACATAACACGTATACCAGCATGCCTTTGAGGAGAGATCAGTAGACATGAAGTAGCTATCGTCCATTTATTCAGATTCATCTTCGACCAAAGACCACTCCAACTCCCATTCCTTGATGGCATCACCCAATGCTCCGATCCATTTCCCGCTCTCGGGGAACTCTTTGCCGGTACTCGCTCTAAAGCGTGCCAATTCGGTCTTCATGAGTTCGACTTGATTGTCGTTCCACTCCGCGTCGTATTGCACGTCGCCACCAAAAATATTGACGAACAGGCAATGCTGAAAATGGACGCGGAGGAATCCGCGGGTCATTTCGTCCTCAATAGGCACTCGTGGCGATTCTGGTAGTCCTCTGTTCCCCAGAGCGGGGCTAAAGGTGCGGATTTTCCCTCCGCGAAACTCTGGATCCTGTTGTAATTTTGCGGTATTTAGTCAATCAATGCAGCTACGTGACAGCCTGAGCTATACAGCATAAAACTCACATTGTCCAGATCGATGGCAAGTGTATTTTTCTGGAAATCCCTGTACATCTCGTCACACAGCGCTATCAGATTGTGCTCATTCCTGAAGCCTTGTTGCGTCCAATCCAACAGCTTCTCTGATTGAGGACCGACATGCTGACGTAGGTGGGTATTCAGCAATCTGTAGGGAAACAGTAACGGAAGTAAAAAGGAAGTGACATACCCCTCCCACCCAAATCGGCGGATAAATCCAGTTGATGTGCTCATTCTGTCCCCCGCCTTGTGCGTTTATGTCCTGATTCCCCGTCACGACGCACCGGGCCTGGTTGTGGGAAAGTTTGAGAGCATTGCGGATTATATCACCATCGGGGAGAGTTCCCTAGATGTGCTTCGTAAGGTCAGTTTGCAGGCAAGAAGCTAACCTACTTGCCTCCGATCCGACCAACGTCATGTCTTTGTCGGCAAATGAGGGTTCGCTTCTGAAGTACCAAAAACGGTCATACAAATCGGAGTGTTCAATTGTGCTTTGTAGATTGTTTCCAGACGCGTCTTTTGATACATGTCGTTAGTATGGAAGGCTCACACGGGATGCAGCTATGAAGTATACCCCTGAAGAAGATAACACAGTCGCCTTCCTTGACTTCATCGTCGTCAACAAGTTCGCGGCCGTTAGACGGAAGAATGGGTCGACACCTAATGGGTCCCTCCCGAATATTCACATTGTTGGGCTTCAAGTCGACACATTGAATGACAAGATTCAAGGCCGTCTCTTCACTCCTCAAGGGTGGTCGCGTTGACGAACTGATCCATCTCAACAGTGTCTTAGCAGTAACGGGACCAATTTCAGCATCGTTAAAACCTACACACAGGCAGGGTTTCATGAGAACGAACATAATTACTCCAATGCGTCTAACTTGTCGACTCACAGCCTATGCAGTGAGAGGGCAGCCATATGAAGACATTGGCATTACGTTGCACAGCTACTTGAGTTTTGCGCGTCAAGTCGATTCTGGCCTTGGTGGAAACGAGTGAGGTCATATCAAGCGTAGGTTGAGGATTGCGTGCAGTATGGCAGCTGAGAGGGCGAAGGCGGAGGGAGGATTTTAGATGAGCTAGTGATGGAAGATGCGACTGACCTGACCAGACTCTTTCTTTATACAGACTCATCAAGTAGGCGCGATTGATCGTAAGCCGGAGGAAGAGTTACCGTGCCGTGCCGGTCAGCATGGAAAATTCCTGCACGCATGTCTTGTAGCTGTAACTCATATTCTACATGTGTAGATTAAGCAATCTCTCAACATCGTACGTCAGGTTTATGTTGTAGGGGCCTTTCGCGACTTCTAGGCAGACATCCGAGGCCTCGTTTCCTCCTTGTCCTCTGATCGTCCGATCTCGATGCAAAACTAGTATCAGTGCCGATATCTCAGTGAAATTGAAGCACCAGGACGGCTTTCAGGGGCCTTGGGCGCTGCAGCCAGTGACTGAACGTGTTTCCCACATAAGTCACATTGCACGACCATGCGCATCAGTCGTTCCTCGCATAATGGTCCAAGTACACTGCGTCCTTAGATTGTGAATAATGCTGTAGAATTAGGGAGATCGAATTATAGCCGTTGACTAGGCATAATGCGGAGTACGACTGCATGGCAGCATAGGTACGACAACTGTATAGCGGGTCATCCGGTCACCAGGTCTGAATCCAGGACAACCGTCCAAGGACGCAGCGACTAGAATACCACGAAACCATGGTCACAAGAGAGCGAAGGCTGAGCATGATACGCAGGCTGTCAGAAAGAGGACTGTGAGAGAACGAGCGATTAATCTAGAAGATCCAGCGGCTTCAGACCCTTCTTGCGGCGCACCCCACGTAGTGCACACCACACTCGTGCAACCAACGCAGACGTTTTCGGCGAAGTAGACGGTGAGGTCGTGCCGAATTCGTCTCGGTCATTCGTACGCTCTTCAGTGAAAACCGGGCAGTCATCAGCAAAGGTGGGCGGGGGCGGAAGTGTCGCTGGCTCCAGTAGTGGGGAATTCGCAGTGAACGTACGACTCTGAGAGCTGAGCTTGATCGAATGGAAGTCCGGATCGCCAGATGCATGTGCCGATTGCTTCTCGTCCTGGATCTGGGCAATGCGACTCACGTGGCTACCCTCCGAGACAAGGGTCGCTGCTGAGCACGAACGCTGCCCAAGCGATGGGCGCGGAACAGCCAGCGACTGGCTCTGCCCGTGCCCGGACCCCCGGGTGAACTCTCCGTTCGCTACGATGGGCGTAAGGGGCGGCGTGAGCAACATGCGGGGAGTCTGTGGAAGCGGCGGCATTCGGGACGCGAAGACGGCGGAAAGATGGGCAGGAACACTAGCGCTTCTCTGTATCGGGTCCGCAGGGGGTGGGGCAGAAGCCGTGCTCACGCGGCGGGACTTGCGGGGGAACGTAGGGCAGAGCCACTGGTACCACCAGTGAGGGGTTTCACCCTCCGCGTATGGCGTCCCGAAAGATATCTTGGGGGTGTTCGACTGTAAGACAAGTCGCACCACGATCTCAGCCAAGACATTGAACGAACATGGTCAGAAGCGAACATACAGGTGGGAAGTTGTTGGAGGGTCGCAATGGAGAGGGTTGCTTTCTGCGCGCCAGCTCTTTCCATTTCCTACGCAAAGAAGATGTGTTAGAATTATACATGAAGGGAGGACGAAGCGACACAGCAACTCACACTGCGGTGAACCAGGGATGATTCTTGATCTGTTCCAAGGTCGGCCGACGCGACGGCTCCTTCTTCAGCATCTGCACAAAAGCCAAATTCAACGTTCGCTCCATGTCATAAAACTCAGAAGAACAAACCCAGGAGAGTAAGTCATGGGCCTCTCCACCAATTTCCGGCCTCACCACGACAGGTTGTGTCATCATCCTCTCGTACACCACCCGCTGGTCGCGAGCGCCGCCGCACTTGACACCGTAAGGAAGCTGACGCGAACGAGTGAGTCGGCAAGCTCCGTGTCTCCCATGCTTCCAATCCCCACCTTGCCGTGAATCATCTCAAAGAACACGACCCCGAGACTGAAGACGTCAGCAGAGTACGTGTACCAGTCGCCCCGAGAGACCTCCGGAGCCATGTACCCCGTCGTTCCGCAGTCGCGTCGAGATACGTCTGCCACATCGGACTTTCGAGGACGGGCGTGATGCGAGGCCCACTCCTCCCGCAGACTCCAAGGTTGCTGCTCGGCGCTCAGACCATACGCTTTGGATAAGCCGAAGTCGGAGAGCACGAGGTTGTCGTCACGAGTGATGAGGACGTTCGCTGGCTTGAGGTCGCGATGTATGATACGGCGGTTGTGCAGCTGTTCCAAAGCGAGTACCTAACCCGATGATTAGCGACGATATCATATGCGTACACCCGTGAGCAGCACATACGAGCTGTGCGCAGTACGGCAGCGCTTCCGAAGCTTCCAACCTGCCTTTCTTGTAGATCCTCCTCGCAAGGTCACCTTCAGGGTAAAAGTCCTGTCCCAGGATCAGCACAAGACTGAGCCCAAGGGATAAGGGTGACCGTACCGTGAGAAGATAGAGATTCTCGCTGTCCTCGAAGCTGCCCCGCAGGTGGGGAAACCAAGGGCTCCCAGAGACGCTCTTGAGAATTGTCTGCTCCTGGAACACGAACGCGTAATGAGTTGGCTTGAGAGCGCTCTTCTTGGTCGCCTTTAGCGCATAGAATCGCCCGTTCACGAGATGCTGAACCAACGACACCGTCCCCTGAGCGCCGCAGCCCAATATATGATATACTCGGAAATCACGGGTGGTAAGACCCGGAGAACGCGGGGAGCCAAGGATACGCGAAGCTGCAGTCAGCTTGAGATCTGAGACTGAGAGATCTTGTGGACGCAGCCTGGGCGTCCCCTCGGGCGTCCGGTGGACGAGAGTGGAAGTCCCGGATACTCCTAGCGGAACACTATGCTGTGCGCCTAAATGCTCGACCTGGCAAGCGACCTGCAGAGACGGTAGCGGAAGTGAGGACATGTGACGAGTCTCAACAACAGGACATACAATATCTCCACCCTTGAACACTAACTTGACATGAACGTCTACTCCGGCAGGAACGTGTTCACTGGCGTCGGCCACAACCTGGACAGCCTCCATATTCTGTTCATAACGAAGGTAAGAAAAGATCCGCTCGGCACAATGTATCCACCATACCACGGTTTCGGTGTATTCTGGTACGGCGGGAGTTGCAGGTATCTTGGTCGATGACTTGTTTCTCGTAGACTTCTTGAATTTCCTGAAAGTCATGACAGCAGTCTGGAGAGCAAAGCAAACAGCGTAGCAATAGACGGTAGTGAGAGAAAGCGAGGGTGCACGCGAAAGTGAACAGCGAAGCTGTAAAGAAGTGTAAGCCTCGGAGGCTGGGCATTAGCCGTTAGGTGTCGGTCGAGAACGAGATAGTCGACGATCACTCGCGTGGTGTGGGCTGGTACTCTCACCCATAGTGGAGGTGAATGATGACGCTGAACATGGGACGCATTCTGCAGCTCAGAGCACAGCTACCTGTCAGACACGCATCGGGACACAGTTGGAGGGTGGAAAGGTATCTTTTGCCCCATGATTGAGCGGGCCGCCATTTCGTGAACGAGTTGCACAAACCAATAAAGGAGCAAATCTGGAGGCTGAGGGTGTATCAGTCGAGTCAACAAGTTCTAACACTAGGGGGAGGGAAGGATGAGGGCGTAGCACAGCGAATTCGAGTGATGGACGGTGAAAGCGCGCGACTCCGAACTCAGATCAATGTCTGAGACGCCGAACCGTGCCGACGGCCTTTGCCGGTGGTCCGTCAAATCTCAGTCCAGCAGGCAAACTTCGACTGCGTGTTTTCTCCTCTGACCACCTCGCCAAGACCGCGGTACTTAGAGACTACAACGAGGTTTGCAAACCTGAGGGGTAACGGCCCTTGCAGGTGTCATACCTCCCTCTCCCCTTACACGTGACGGTACTATTTGATACCATCATCCCGGTGGCGCGTCGGTTAGGGTTCGGTTAGGGTTTGGGTTTGGGTTTGGGTTTGGGTTAGGCACGAGTAGCCTACAAAGACACTAGGGTGCGGGCAACAAATCCGAATTGTTAACACGTGGATTATTAACAAGTTAATAACCTGTTAATAAACAGTTAGAAAGTACGAGTCTGGATAGCCATGTCAAGAATTGTTCAAAACTAGGACCCATTTGAGCGTCCTTTTGACTCTAATAACAACAATAGACCGCATTCATTGCGTTTACTGTAGGCCAGAGTAGTGCTGCTGTGAAATGCAAGCTTGGTGCCTCTAATTTATGCAGGCCGCTGGCCAAAGCCTCCAGTGAGCTTGGTCTGATCAAGATCTCGAAGGGAGAGCGGGACTCGTCGCCACACAGCTCATTGATGTCATGCCTCGTCAAATATACAGTACTTGCAATGGCGAGGTGTCTCGGAGTTCTAGGGACCCTGTCGGTCGACTGAGATGTTTATTACTCGGGTCAACAACTTGTGAACTTGATTTAGCGCCCGGTTAATTAACCGTAAATAACACGTGTTAGCAAGAGGTCCAAGAGGGCGTCCGTTAATAACGGTTCGTTATAAACCATTTTCATCGTTGACCGCACCCTAAAAGACACGTCGGGCGAGGAAGCCTGTGCATTCAAATGTCATATATTGTTGTGTGCACGATAGCATGCTGTCGGAGCAGCGTCTGAAGACCGTCACTGGAATCCTGACGAGGTGTCGGAAGCGCATCGTCCTGAACGTAGACGAGTTGATTCTACGCTTGCCTGTCGATGCGTCCCTCCATCACCAGCCCGGCAAATCCATCGTTCCGGGAAAATTCGGGCGAAATTGTAGGGTATCGGCTTATCGCCAGGCCTGCGATACCTGCCATAGTCCGTCGAGCGTTCCCAGGTGAGTAACTCTGCATGGTTTCTCGTCGTTGGCATATCGCTCAAGACGACTGCACGCTACATAGGCTCCCGACGGATCTCGCGGCCGAAAAGGCAGACCATGCAACGGTTTACCTCTCGAGCAATACGCGTCCTCCTACCTCGCCTTCGCATTGGGAGAATATTGAGCAGATCTGGGAGGAGCATATTGGCGATATGGCGGAGACATTCGAAGACATTGATTGGACGCACATGAACATCTGAGACACGTGCACTAATATGCAGCACAGCCTGACAAGCACATGTTGGACGGTAGGGAGCTTGGCCTTATTGCTTCTATACCTGTAATCGATCTTGCTCCGAATGTGTTACTTACGCGTATTGAATGTGTTGTGGGAATTGGTGGTAGCACTGCGTACAAGATTGGAACCGTCCCACCACTGTCACTTGGGTGGTCTTGTCTCGCCAGCTCGGCCCCGGGACCATCAATGCAACTATAGCCAATTGAAGGGGAGGTGTTCGTAAGGACATGAAGGGCGCCATTAGTTCTACGAGACATCCGACACGACCCGTAGAGCAGAGATCCTCCCGGCGAGACATGCCGCTTACAACCCCATTGTGGATTGCAGTCTAGTTCTGTCTAGTACATGAGATTGCCTACAGCAGATGGGGAGCCGTCGTTGTTGAACAGGCACGAGCCAGTGCCGACGAAGGAGACCGCAGAAGAGTCGTATTGCTGCAGGAGCGCAGGAGAAGTGGCGACGAAGGGGAAGTAGAGGTTGACGAAGCTCTGGCTGTCGAGGTACGCGAACGCCTGCTTGAAGAAGTTGACCCTACAGCGCGGTCAGCATATGTAGGAACGTGACAGAGAACAGTTCAGACGCACTGGTCGCTCTGGCCGCCCGCCGGATTCTGGAGAGCGAACTCCGTGATCATGAGCTGCTTGTTCTACAACACCGAAAAGTGATGAGCGCGCGCCGCTTCAGATGCAATATCGAGCGTTCGAGACTGACAGGGAACTTCGAATGCGCTTGCTGGATGTAGCTCTGGAACTCCGAGAAGCTGTGGCCGTACCAGTGCAGGTTGATGTAGTCGTAGTAGCAATTTCCCGCACAGGCGTTGATCATCTGCTGCACCCAGTCGAGGCCCTGGCCAGCGCTCGTGCTGGACGTGACCGCAGGGAGCGCCTTCTTGATAGCGAGCGGGTTGACGTACTGCTGGTACCAGGACGCGGCCTGGCTGGGCGAGATGCCGTTGACGTCAGGCTCGTTCAGGGTGAACACGGCTATGGAAGGTCGTCAATTGTCGGATCCAGCGAGAAAAGAATAGAGACGTCAGGCTTACTGGCCCAGCCCTGCTGCTTCTGACGAGTGGCGAGCTGCGCGATGGGGCTGGAGTCGCAGTCCAAGCAGCGCTGCATGCCGATGAACGCAAGGCCTCCGGCGCCGTTCTTGGAAACGGGCGCGTAGGTCTCGTAGTCGTAGCTGAGCGGGGATCAACGTCTGAACGAAATCACATGATGCACACTGGTAGACGTACATTGCGACGACCTGGCCGTCGCCGTTGTTGAAGACACCGGGATCACTGGGAGGTTAGTGTTATCAGCGATGCTAACTACTGAAGAAAATGGCTGATTATTACAGAGTATTGTCATCTGTAATGGATGTTAATTCCCGCTCGTATGTACATGTCATAGCGCATGAACTTACAGTAAGTCCATGTGAGACCACGCTTGCCCGCTTGGGCTGCTGCGGCGAACAGAGCGAGGGTAACGAGGGTAGAGGGGCGCATTGTAGAAAGGCAAGCGAGTTGAGAGACCCGATGCTGATCGTCCTCTCATGTCTTCGTACTTATACTGCTCCTTCAGCTGAGCGGCCGACCGGTCACTGCTGATGTCGGTCGCCCAGTGGCAAGGCACCGGTGCCGCGTCGCCGAGGGGTGCGCAGGAATCGGGTCGAGAAATTGCCATATGCCTCCACAATTTGGCGGCGGTTACAGCGTCCAAGCGCGGACGCTGCGGACTAGGGTCATGGTTCCGACGCCTGTGGGGGCGGCGTATGCTTTCTGACAAGCCTTTCAGTTGATACCATCGACTTGGAAACTACCCCTGAGCTGAGGAAAAGAGACTTACATACCTTGTCTGGCCAGTCCGTCCATCTGGGGCTGCCTCACGGGATCCAGAGCTCCATACCGTCACTGCGGCACCTGTGATCAATGCGCCCGCCATCTGCAGGCGGCACCACGCGACGGTGTTGATCGGATGTAAGCATGGTGGCTTCGTTTGAGGCGCCGCGTGGGACGCTCGTGCCATATGCACTTCCAAATCGATAGGCAACCGGCCTGATTTGGTGGGGAATGCATATGCGTCATCTCTCTAGCGTTGTGTCGGTGCACTCTGGAGAGTTCTAGCTTGACAGTCGAGCGAGTACATCTGTCGGCGCCAGCATCACACGACGATGTGATGCACAAGCCTCGAATGGCTCGCTGCCGTTCCGACAGGTGGGTACCCAGGACAAAGTACGAGACTGTCCAGAGTCAGTTTGTGCTGTCGAAAGGTGGGACAATGCATCATACTGTTAATGAAGACAGCAACCGTATGTAGAGATGTTTTCTTCGAGCATCAAGCATGGATTTCTCGTTGTCAGGCACATTCATGTCGCTTCTGAAACGACAAGACCATTGCTGACGATAAGAAACACTCTGACAAGTGAGAGGCAAGTAGGATTCTAAACTTGAATTAGGTTGAAGTTGGCGTGCGTCTCATGGCCGAGTCCCCTCAACCTATGTTTGCTTCTACTGGACCGGGCGATGCTCGTTAGGCCGTAGAGCACCTTACCACCGCCGCATGTGAGCGGAAGTGGACATGCGCGGCAATTGCAGAAGCTGGAGAATCTACACTACCGACGAGTGCAGAAATAATCAATCTTCTAGCGGAACGCGACACCTTCGTGCGTCACGCCGCACCCCTCGCAGAGCGGTTGGTTGGGCGCCATATGGCCCAAAGCCGAAGTCGGATCTTTTCGTCGAGCAGTTCATCATGATCCTCCACGCGCTCTTTGGATGATCTGCAAAATATGACGCACGTTGAAACGATCGCATTTAGTACGTTATGTCCGCTAACGCTTATGACTGACACTGACCGGATCATCGCAGCCAGGGTATTCGTTCATGTCAGGTACTGCATTGGTACATACTGGTGCGTAACCCCATGTCTCAGGATCAGGAGGCGAGCGATGGGACATTCTAGAGTATATGTTCTGGAGTATGTGTCCCATGTATCAAGGTCAGACCTAGAGAAATATTGGAGCAAAGTTCGTCAGAAAATGCAATCATGAAGTACTCGCCTCCGCGGAGGCCTTTGGCGCCGAGGTCCCACTCGGAGCGATCGCGACCGAGTCCGACCGGAGGCCGGGCGCCGGGCGTCAACGCCGGGCTATCCTCCGGATCCCATACGCAACGCCTCATTTTGTCGGCCGCCGTTGGATATTACTCCTGTCCAGTCTCTCAGACACGATTGACGTCAAGAGTTTCCAATAATCTCTATATCATGAGCGATTTTTTTCTCCTGCTATCAATTTGTCGACGAGAGAATACCATTGCTGTTATGCACCTCGTCGATAGCCACCACATATCCGCACAAACACAGGATGTGCCTCCCAACTTCCTGAGCCGGCGAAACACCTGAACCCCCACGCTAGCAAATATTTGTCACCATCGCAGAAGGGTGCGTCGCGTCTGATCCTCCTGGTGCCGTCGCAGGTAGGGAGTCGGAGAATGGGAAAAAAGCAGGAGACGTACGGTCGCTCGGTCGTTGCGGTGGTGATGGGACACATCCCAAGCTGACGGGCCGGCAGCCGCAGGAGAAGAGGCCGAGTGAGGCTGAGGCGAAGGCCGCGAAGGCTGCCGCCCCAGTGTTCAAGGGGCTCCATGCTAGCATTGCGGAGTGTCAGGATATATCTACGTATCAGTATCTTTCTGAGATCGTGTATCTATTGACTGTATTGCTCACGAATGAACATCTAAATCCTTGTAGAGGCCGGCGGGGTGCGTTTCGTCCTCACACGGTCGGGTGCCCACAATGTGCAGCGACGCAGATGGAAGATGCAATGTGCGACGCTTGCGCCGCGAGAAATACTCCGCATTTGCCGCACTACTTATATACAGACTCTCAGGAATTGAAACTACGCGTGATTGTTCAGGTTCTGCCAAACGTAGCGCCATACTCAGCATTTTATGACGTTCAACGAGGCTCCTACATCCATATATCATGAGACAGAGAAAAATACGTCGTCGTACCTCACTACGGTGATGCATGATTTGTACCTTGAGACTCGGGGGGAACGTCGGCAAGGAACGCCTGCTGCTGCCTCGGTGTCTCAGGTAGAGGCGGGTAGGGCGCTGGTTGCGGGACATTCTGTTGGCTGTACTGCGGCTGACTAGCTGGCGGCGGTGGAGGCGCGTCGCGGTAGGGCGGCGGCTGCGCGGTGTTGACACCAGCATACTGGGGTTGCAGATAGGTGGCTTGCGAAGCGTACGGCTGTTGTTGATTGCTCTGTGATGGAGCATCGCGGAAGGAAGGCTGGGTATCGCTCGAAGGGGGACTCTCGTACGTCTGTGATGGCCCGCTGGGTGGTACAGTATACGATTGCTGTGGGTTGTTGGCTGCAGCGGAGTAGGCGGCGTTCTGGGAATGACCGGGAGGGATTGCAGGGTCGAAACCACTGATAGGCGGAGGGGCTGGTGGCAGGGGCGGCGGCACATCATACTGGTTAGGTACAGATGGTGTCGTGTTACGAGCTTCCTGTAGCGCTTGCATGTAACCCGTTGTGTCTCGCGGTGGGGCCTGAGGGACAGGGGCAGAAGTCATGTGATACTCGTGCTCGACGGTATTCGAATGTTGCTGTGCATGATCTTGGGTAAGGAGCATCATCGTGGGGCGTTGAGGCATTTGCAGGTTGAACTGCACAGACTGCTGCGCGAAGTCCACAGTGTCTGAACGTATTGGCTGCGGCGGATTGCTCCGAGGGGTCTGATCGATGAACTGGGACTGAGGTGGAGCAAGGGAACCAGTCTCAGCTGGTCGGTACGCTTGTGGTAGACTGCTGGCGTGAGATGCTCCTCCGGACCAGCCCTGTGCATGTTCCGTTCCTGGGATGACGCCCTGCACTGATACAGACGAATGTCCTGGTCCAGGTGGCTGCGATGAGCTATGACCGTATTGCAGCGGTTGCAAGTCCGTAGTAGGATGTGGCGGAAGTCCTTGAGGGTTGTACGAATGCATCGCGGGATTGTGTGTTGTGGGAACATACGGCGCGTTCCCTGGCGGATACGACGAGAGGTGGCCATCGACTGAGGTATGCTGGGGCAATCCTTGTGTGGTCGTAGAAGAGTACATTGAGGCAGAGTCAGAAATGGATCGCGCGACCAGTCCAGGACGGAGTACTGGATGCATACTGTCCTCAGAATAGGCTCTTTCGACGGTCTGTGGGATGTGAGATGTAGACGTATGCGGCGAGTGCGTTGGCGTAGAACTGATTGCTCCACGGGGATATGGTACCGACGAACCACCTGACGCGGCGGTCGAAGTTGTCTGCGGTAGGCCGTATTGACCGACCGGTGTCTGAGCCCCTCCTTGTCCATAGGGCCCCGACAAATGACTATGTTGAGAGGAGGCAGGCGGAACGGACAGAGGAGGGGCGTATGAACGCTGTGGTGCCTGCTCATAGTGCTGCTGGCGGACGTCATGGGAAGGGACAGCAGACCGCGTGGATGCGGGCGCGGCAGCGCTGGGAAGCTGCCCAGGCTGGAGTTCAGCATAGAAGGGAACAGGATGTCCGTTCGTCATGGTACTAGGGGGTGTAGAGACGAACGGTCGTTGGCCCGGCAAGTGTTCCGTATGAATCGGGGTGCCAATACGACTATCTGCGCCCGTGGATGCCACCTCGCCTTGAGAGGTACCATGAGACTGTGTCCATATCTCAACTCCTAGCTGATATATCGGCTTCGCAACCGATTGTTTCCGAGGGTCTATTGAGTCTCTACTGAACGTAAGCCTCATGACGATAGGGTCAGGATGTCCTTCGTGAGGGGTGAATGGTATCTCCTTCGACGCAAAGCCCCCGCGGAACGCCCAGGACGAGATATGGCCTGCGTAATCGGTCGGATGGCGTCTGTCAAACTCCTTCTCCAGGGGACAGGTTCCATGGCGGGACAGCACCATCACGCCAAGGGAAGATTTTTCGTTGCCGTGCTCACAGTTACAACGTCCGACTTGAATAGTGATGTATTCATCGCCGGGCCCCCCAGCGATGATGACCACTTGGGCACGCACACTGCGATCAAGGTGAAGACTCGGAGGGGAGATACTTTCGTTGTCCTTCGGCATAGTGATACGGTACCCGTGTGCCTCCAGGATCTTCCGAGACCAGCCAGACAGGCGGACTTCGAAGGAATCTCGAGAATCACGAAGCACCGCATGGAACGGGGCATCGCGCAGTAATTCGTATGCGTTGTATGAGGGGCGGTGTGGGATGTAGACCTTCTCGGGACGAAGGAGGTGCCGTATCCTAGCGACTTCCTCCATGGGAAGGAATACGGCTCGGGAGTAGTCCAGTTTCGCACTAACGTAGTCGTTGACAGAACCCACAGGGGTCCCAACATAGAATTCCTTGCTGACGTTCCGCGTGGATGGACGTAGTAGAAGAGCCAGTACGTTACCCCTGCGGTCCTGACAAGCCAACAGTGCGAGGTGTGTGGGGAGGATGGTCGGAGGACCTTGGGGAGAGACCGCGATGAGAGGAAAGTGCTCGTGGATGCCGTAGGCGGTCGTCGTGAAAACGCGGTAGCCCTCGTCAGGAGACATGCCTACTCTCTCTGCGAACACTTCTCGCGAGAGAGAATTCAGCTCGGAGGACTGTTCGAAGTCTTTGGGGGACGATGCCAGGAGGTATTGCTTCTCCGGCGACGTAATGGAAATGGAACTATCCGACGGATCTGAAGGACCATCAGGACGGTCTTCGATACGCGTGAACGAGAACCGATGGCTCGTGAGGAACGATCCCCAAGCGAAGATGGTCTGGTCAGGGATATGTTTCAGAATCTCCTCCTGCAGGCGAATGAATGAATAGCGGCCCTCTCCATAGGAGACGGTGATGTTGACCCCGAAGATGCCCATCAGCGAGTAGGCCCTATCCTCCTCCCTCGTGGTCTTCCTTGCGGCGGCCCAGGACATGCGACGCGCAACGGAGACTTTGTCTAGCGGACGCTCGAAAGTGAGGACCGCACGGTCGATGCGAGTGACCTCAGAAACGATGGAAGCCAGGGTGTGTTTCGAACCGATGACGTCCCAGCTGTTGGAAAGGAAGAGGACGACACTAGGGGCGAGGAGCTCCTGCAACGTCCACCCACGAGTAAACCATTTGCTGCTACGAAATTGCTCCCAGTGCTCCAAATCATGATCTCCGGCGGATTTGTCGACATCCTGCAAGAACGCGTAGCAAACGCCAGCGTAACGGTACCAGCTGTGCATCGAGCTGATGGATTCAGAGAGCTCGGTGGAGCTACTCTTGTCGATACAACAGGAGTCTGCCCAGCCTAGCTCAAATCCGTCGTTCAACGCGGTCTCGCAGAAGCGCCGTATCTTCGGCGACAGCTTCTTTATGATGGCATGTTCATCCGGGTCGGCTTTTGAACACTGTTCGTGGATGTGGCGGACATCGTCGTACGTTTGCTCGAACCCCCCCTGGGTAGTCGACCAGACATGCGACAGGATAGCGTACCGAACAGTGCGAGGGTCGTCGACCCAGAAGAACTCTCCGGTCCTTGTGTCGAGTAATCGCATGTCTAAATTGTAATCAATTTAGTGCTGCGAGGCGGAAATGCTGACCAAACCTACCTGCTTCTTGCGGTTGGATGGTTTCGTGGTCACCAAACGTCTGTTGTTATGGTGCAAGTCTAGTACGGGCCTTCGGGTCAGAAGGTAGGACGACGGATGGCCACAGGAGACATACCAACAAAGAGGAGGGAAAAGGGCCCGTAGGCTCAGGCACTAAGGAGACGAAGACCACTTAAAGTATCTGCCACGAGCGGGCTGCGCAGGTCAGCGCGGCGTGACTCTTCCATGCATCGTGTCGGCGCTGTACCACATGAGCGTATCGTTGGTGATCACGGAGTCCTGTTCCTATATTGGTCAAGCCTGTGTCAATGTCGATGAACTGCATGGAGTAACGGCCCGTGGACCGACTGGTACTCACATCGGATTCTGTTCCGCCGCAGTATCTCTATACCACTCAGTAGTATTGAGCACGAGAGGAACAAGTCAATGGGAGCTGTGAGATGCAGGTCATGTCGTGACTAGGCCAATGGTCTACAATCTCAGCATATATGGGTACGATTCCAAGGTGTAGGATCGCGCTGGCAAGGAACTTGGATGCCCGCTTTCTCAGAACAGGCCCATGCGAACATCATGATTTGAGTTTAATCGTACGCGCTGACACAGTATGACAATCTGTCAATGGCGATACGAGAATGGACTCATCCACAATGTTCCCAGGCTGCAGGGATACTAGGTCTGGACTCGCTTCTTAGAATATGCCCCTGCACGGAAGTCACCGGTCTCGGGATGGCAAGTCACAACCATTTCACTTATACGCATACGATGGCATGGTGCAGTACCAATAACGTACTGCATTGAATCAACGCAAAGCAGATGACACGGCCATGACGGTATCGTGTGCCTGACCTGTCATCTGTGGTACTATCGTTCTCCAGAGAGATGACACAAGGAGAGAGTGGCTTGTGCATCTGAGGACACTGACAAAATCGAGACAATGGGCGGAATGCGCGTGTACAATCTCGTCAATAAGGGGGACCGGCATTCTCACCTGTGGCCTACAAGCTTCTGTAGTCCCGAGCGGGTTCTCACCGTCCATGTCTATTTTCCCTACCTCTTAGGTACGTACTTCTGTCACATGCTGACGACTATATCTATGCTATACCAATCTCCGTCAATGGGCGCGATTTCCCACTTATACCAATATCAAATTAGGACTTACAGACGGCGGTCTCATGAAAATCAAGGGTGAGAGCTACGGCTGCCCTCGAGAGCCGGAATGAACTCGGAGCGTAATTCAGTAGACAAGAAGCACTATGATTTCAAGACGGCGGAGGATGTGGAGGCTTCGGGAAAGGCACACCGCCCAGCGATACGGTTGAAATTCCTCTCCACGTGGTCAAGTCTCGAAGAGGTATCACAAGCGCCCACTGCGGATTAAGTACCAGCGAAAACGCTCTGCGGCTTCTGGCTCATAGAACTATGTGGATCTCTGTGAGTCCCCGTTCTGTGCAGTCTCCTCAAGTAACTACATGGCTGGTACGATGACTGTCAGACCCTCTGACTTGTTTCCCTCGTACAGAGCCCAACCAGGGACATTTTTCTTGCCTAGTAACTCTTCATGCTGCGTTAGGTTTACGGAACTCGTCGAGTTTCTTGTGATCCCCACTTGAATCTTGCAGCCGTCTAGCGGGAGAGAGAGCTCGATGCCGGAAAGGCCTGAGGGGGCTGAAGTGCTATTTGAGGAAGTGCTGTTTGAGGATGCGCCACAAGACAGGGTCACATTCGCGGGAGCCGGTAGGAGCGCATATGCCCACAGTTGTCCTTGGATCTAGCAGGTGTCAGCCTATCAGAAACACTATTGTCTTTGCGAGACGTAGAAGACGCACCCATTCGCTATCGCAGCAGGCTTGTGAACAGTTGTCACTCTTCGGGGAAAGGCTCGTCCAGGGAAAAATCATGTCTTGTGTCACGGATGGGTAGGAGCCGGTCTTGAAGCCGATGATGTAGTAGGCCATCAAAGGTGCGATCCGTGCTAGGATGCCTTGCCCAGTATCTCCCCGCCTCGTCAACGAGCGCCGGCGACTTGAGTGCTCTGTGGTGTTCGGGCTGAGTGGGTGCGTCGTTGACAGGTTAAAAGGTCCGATATATGAATCGCCGAGTGGCTCATTCCATGTTACGACTTGTACCAGTGGAACGCTGGCGCGATTCTCGATGAGCGTGTTCCAACGGTCCCCGAAGAACCAGCCTGCTCTACACCAAGTGGCATTGTTGCTTCCATCGTTCTGCTGGAATCCTTGTCAACACCCTGATATATCTTCGAGCGGGACAGAGAGGTGTGGGACTTACCGTAAATGACCATAGGGAGACTGCGGCCATGTACGTCCTATTTCCTAGATGGGAGATATACGACTGATCGCCATCGAAGCTCGTCGCATTAGACCATGCGGAATCCCACTGATAATCGCATCAGCCTCTGCGACAGTACAAGGTGTATGACAACCTCGAGGCACTCACATTGAACGCTCCGTCGACGACAGTCGTGTTCGACAAAGCATCCGCTGCGCCCCGGAATGCGGGGACGAACCATACGTCGGGAATAATCGTCGAGCCGTTTCCTGACCTGAATGCGAACTTCCACCCGTCGTCCACAGAGCCTTGTCCAAACGTACAGTCCTCCCCGACGAACGTCGACACGAGCATACTGTCGTTGTATCTGTAGTAGTTCGTAGCGTTGGCATACGTCTCGATGTATTCCTGAAGGACAAGGGCGTCCTGTGCGCTCGAGCACGGGAGGGAGGTCATGTTGAACGAGAGGAAAAGCTTGAAGGCCGACTCAGAAGTGCTGTTCGTCAGATTGGAGTTGAAGCTGGAGACGGCCTCGAACGCGTTTGCGACTTGCTGGGACTCGCCAGTCCCGTTGCCTACGCTGAGTGCGAACGCATCGAATCCGGCCGAGGCCGCCAGCTGAATGTCTGCACGTAGTAAGAGGCCTGTCAGATGTACATACGCCTGAGGAACCGGCATACGACAAACCTTCGGTCCAGCAGTCTACCGTGTACGTCTCCGCATTCCGGACTACGAAGTTCGCGAACACGGCGCGGTCCTGGACGCTGGTTCCATTAGTGGACGAGGTACCATTGGGAATGATTCCGCTCGCCGCTCGACTGCATTGAGTTTGCGCAGGGACTTGGGAGGAGACCGTCGAGCTCAAACTTTCGGTCGTCGAGGCGGGGCGTTCAGTCGTCAAGGTAAGGTTCCCGCTTGTCGAGATGAGATTCCCGCTCGTCGAGGTAAAGCTCTCTGTAGTACCATCTGCAAGCACAGAGGTCGTAGTAATCGCCGATGAGCCAGACACAGAACTCGCCGACTCCGCCGACGTCTCCGTCGCGCTCCTCGAGACGGGCGTCGTGGAGCCCCCAGGCCCGATACCGAAGACGCTGTACAGCTCGTGGAGCCACTGATCGGCCACCGAGTCGTTGGCGCTCTGGGTCTGTGCCAGAGCGACCGGGAAGGGCCTGCGTGCGCCGAGAAGCGAGACGAGGATGGACGCGCCGAGGAGGGTGGTGAGGCTAGGCCTGCCGGCCTGATAGGGACCGCGGTAGGAGGCCGATACGAGCATGCTGCACGATCGCTTGGGAAACGAGGAGGACGTGACCAGCACGGATTATCTGGGGGGGGGGTGCCTCTAGGAAAGAAGATGAAGTGAGGGAGGATGTCTTTGTGAGGCAGGGGCGATGCCAGGCCCATAGCGAGGCTGACGGGTCTCGTACGGGTTGGGATTGAGACTTGCGAGCAGGTCAGTGCTATAGGCACTGTCATGGTGCATACGTAGCACTGGTCTGACCTGTAACGCATTCTTGTCAATGACAATAGATCGAATCAACCAAGAACGGGTGCACTCACCGAGGCTACGTCGCACTGTCCAAACGCTGCATATGCAGACGTGCGAGGGTGCATCGAAAACGTAATGAATAAACTACAGCGTAATGTACACTGTGATGTGAAGCATAATGCGACATTGTGAAGCAAACCTGCGAGCAACATACCAGCACAACATAACACATGCAAGAATCAAGCCATTCCAGATAGATCCCACCAAACGGCTCCCCACCCGCCCCCGCACTACTCAAACATCGCCAGATCGTCAAACCCCGGCATCCCGCCCCTCCTCTGCGGCGCATGCACATGCGAATGCGCCTCCCCCGCCCCCGCCCCAGCACCCGCATCCCCGGGCACATGCCCGTTCCCATGCGCGATTCCCTCCTTCGCATGGCCCGTCAGGCGCGTATACACCTCCGCCCATGCGCACACCATGCCCGCGACGCCCCCGTACAGGCTGTACGCGTGCTCAGGGATCTCCATCTTGCCCTCCTGCATGAGCACGCGCCAGCCCGTCGCGAGGTCCGCGAGGTGCAGCGCGCTCCGGAACCAGTGCGCGTGCTGCTCGTCGAGGTCCGCGGGGAGCGGCGGGGAGCGCGTCATGGACCGCGCGAGGCCCGAGAAGCCGTGCGAGTGCGGGGAGGCGCCGTTGGCGTGTCTGGAGGAGGGGGCGTTGGGACTGGAGAAGGAGTCGAGCGCGTCGGAGACGGCGAGGAGCGCGTAGACGCTCCCGCCGACGCCGTGGCAGAGCCCAACGCCTTTGCGGAGCAGGCCGCGCGTGTAGACGAGCTCGCCGGCGCGGGTTACGGCTGCCACGATTGATTCGCGGAGGGAGGGGGGAAGAGGACAAGCGGAGGGAGAGAGGGACGCACGGCGGAGGAGGACGGAGAAGAACATGAGGAAGCCGGACGCGCCGTGACACCATTGGACGAGCGAGTCGTCGTGCTCTTCGTCGATGGCGACGTGCTTGGATTCTGCATGTGTCGCAGAACCGCCGGGGATGACCGGCATGTGGCGGCCGGCCTTCGTGGGCCAGTTGCCTAGGGGGTCTTGAACAGCGAGGAGCCATTGGACCGTTGCAAGGATTTTATCCCAATGGGGCTTGATAATATCCGAGGGCGCGTAGAGGATGGGGTGCAGGATACCAACTGCGACGAGGGCACTATGAGGAAGGATATCGACCGTTAGGAAGACAAGACTCACCGACGCCGTGCGCTGCACCGAGATATCGCGCCTCATGCCACTTCCAAATGAGCGGCGGAGCATTCGCCTTCTCGCTCTCTTCCAATTCCTCCGCATACCGCTGCGCCCCGAATTCGCCACGCTTGATGATATCATCCACCAGCTCCTTCAGATTCTCGTGTGAGCAGAGCTTCTCCACGTCGCGCACGATCTTATCCTTCGTCTTTCTCGTCTGCTCCAAGTAGCTCAGCGTCACCGCCAGCTCGCTCTTCAGAACCAGGAGTGCATAAAGCAGCCCCGCGCGCCCGTACAGGACCTCGCAGCCGTCATCGTCCAGCGCTTCTGAGACCGCGACCTCCTGCGCGCTGTGCAGGAGATCGATCGCACCGCGCCATGTCTCCGAGAGCTCCACTTCGTCCAGCAGTTCTCCGTCGAGCTTTCCGCGCCGCGCGTGCTTGTTCGCGGTCGATTCCGGGGACTGGCGGAGGCGCAGCTGGCGGACGAGGACGAGGGTGGCGGGGCCGACGGAGGTCTCGAGGTAGGCGACATGCGAGCCGTCGCGGGGCTCGTGGAAGGGATCTGCGATGAGGGACGAGGTGGCCGTGTTGGGGAAGTTTTTGGAGGGGAGGATGCCAAAGGTGCGCATGTCCATGATGATCTCGCCTGTGGGCGTGCAAAGGCAAAGTGGGCCGTCGGCGGATGCGAGAGATGGGTGAGAGGGATTGGATACGCACCTGCGGAGCCATGGTATACCTTCGGGCTGGTGGAGGGGTGTCTGTGTACGCGGAGGACGTTTTCGGCCAAGGCTTCGTGAATGCGATGCTTGACGGGCTTGATGTCGGTCGGCGGGGTGTTGCTGTGCGGGATATATCGCCGCGGTAGAGTCGCTGAGGACATGGTTGCTGCGAATCGCGATGCACAGGGAGAAGGAGGGGGAGGAGGGATGGAGAGAGATTACAAAAGGCATATATAGGATGTGCGAGTGCACACTGGGCGCACCGAGTGCATCGGACATGCCATCCAGACTGACGTCAGTCTATCATCGCACGCTTACTCTTTCACCCTCTCCTCTTTCCTCCATTCGCTGAGCTTTTGCCTGCGCATGCGCAACACCGGAAGCGGGGTAGTGTCATCTACTAGTCCAAGGTCTCCTATTGTGAATGCTCGCAGTGAGCATGTTCTGGCAGAGGTCCGAGGATGGCCGCCGACGGTCCCGGGGAGAGGACGGAGAGCAGCGGTTGGCCGGAGCCGACGGAACATGTGCGTCATTTGGTAGGTCGTAGTGTGTGGGCGTTTGGAGATTGTTCGGGCTGTTTGGGTTCCAGAGGCAAGGCGGAGGCAAGGCGGAGGCACCAATAGGCCTGATGCGGCGACTAAGCAACGCTGGCCAGGATGCTTGATAGATACACACGACGAGCGACACGATCCTCGACGAGGGTATCGGAGCCGCCCAGCGCTCCGACCCACGAGCTCATAAGCGCCGGATCTTCCCGCGCACACCCGCGACGTTCCTCCTTGCTCTTACAATTCAATGTGACCTTCACCAACGTTTCTTAATCTCTCCAAAAGAATGAAATCAAAGACGTGATTTGAATTGGGCCGCCCAAGAAGTCGACAAATTGAGAGGTCTGTGTGCAATCTCTGACTCGAGATTGCACTGATGATGGACGTGCCATTCGCGTGCATGCAGGAGTGAAACTCACACACACAAGGATAACCTGCAAAAGAACTATCGGACCACGTCCATAACGCAAGAACAGCGATTCTGACGTAGCGTGCCTGACCGCATCCATTCGCGGTCGCGGTCGCGAGGATTTCGCGTATTGGGATCGCGTTGGCTCTCAACGAACCGACCCATATGTGTGCTGTTTCGTTCACTACTTGACACTGGACAAGCGACTTGAGACGGGGCCTGGATCTTCACCGCCGCAGACATCCGACTCCTGAATGGAAGTGAGTTTGTCCGGGCAGAGTCTCCTCACTTCCATTGATCGCTCAGGTGGCGTCCTGCATGTTGTAGATCATCGACCTGTAAGACGTTCTCCAAGCGCAGGTCACATGTCCGCACATTAGATTTGTCGTCAGCGGTCATCAGCGTGCCTGCCCGGAAGCTATATACACCGAAGACCACCACGATGAGCAGGCAAGAGCCGCGATGTCCTCCTCGCTGCAAGGTACTTTGGTGTGTCTCAAGCGTGCTCCTCGTCCCCGGTACACTTGCATTGTAAGCCCTCGTCAATGACCAACGAGGTCCAAGTACAATTTCTTAGATGACAAGCCTTTTTGGGGAGCGAGGACGCGAGAAGAAAGGGACGGGATCTCATACACGCACCCTTCCAAGTTTCTGGCGATGTGCGCGCGATGGCCGCATACATACAGGGAACTCGAGAAGGCCATGCCGTGCCACCGTTCCCCCGTCCGAGGATCCCCAGGGTGTTCTGATAGGAAAGGTATTAGCATGTATGTGTGCACAGCCCGAGACATGGAAGCTTATTGCCCGTAGATACCAACGCCTCCGGGGATAGAACGGAGCGCGGATGCTGTCGGGCGAGCACCCGGTTTGGTTTCCTGATTCATGTCCACAGGTCCGGAGGAGCACGTCCTGCGATGTCCCCAGAACGTACTTATTCCGCATCTTTCCACGAGCACTCTACCGTAAGAGCGCACGGGCTGTTTGATGTACCCGTCCGAATTTGCCTCAGTGACATCACTGCAACCCCAGGAGTTTGAATATTGTTGGCCGGCCGGAAGATTGACTTTATCTCGGGAGCGTTTAGTGGTTTCGTCTCAGCGGCGCAGATATTTATAGTGACTAATATGCACCCCAATATTGATGTCAGCACAGATCGTCTTGTAAGTATTTCGTGCCTAAGCCGGCGAACAGCTCGACGAAGCCGTAGAAATGTTTACATTGCCAAACGTTCTTGTTACAGTATGCTGCTTGTATTGTGCTCGAAGCCTGCACCGCTGACCACGGGGCCAATAAACCAAGTGGCATAACGTCCCTGCCTCAGTGGAGACGATGGACAGATCGAACGCTGGCCTGACCACAATTCCGAGCATCCAAATGGCCGGGTGCAAGCAAGGGAGAAAATCGAAACTGCGAAGTGTTCGCTCCGCATGCAGATGTTGCGGTACAGCATTATGAACTCAAAACCGACTTTGAGCTCGCAAATAGGCAAACCAGAGGCTTGAAGCTTGAAGAGCCTCGACAGTTTGTGGATCCTTAGTGGGTTAAAATCTGAGGGAAGACCATGCTCCCGCGATAGGGAGCATTCAGACAGTGGCAGCAAGCACATCATTGGCAGGCAGGTGTCCAGCGGTGGCATGCGCAATGGGCGTCGGGCGAGCCGTACTGGAATTTGTAGAACTTATGTGCGAGTCGAGCGCCTGCGTAGCGTCGCCCGTCTCGCTTGAGCTTGCGAGCGTAAGTCCGGAACGACACGCGACGTCGCCGACGCGGTCAGACGCCTCCGCTGAGCGCAACGATCACTCTTCGCGGAGATCGGGTCCAGAATGGTTAAAACCGGGATGGTGGGTTTGTGGGTTTGTGGGAGAAAATAACTTTCCGAGCCGGTCCGAGAGCTCGTAGGCGTAGGTCGCAACATGTTTTCCTCCGAGGGGATATTCAAGATTCATGTACTTATGCTTGAGGAGGGGGTGGATCAGGGGCGGAGAGATGGAAGAGATGTGGCTTATCATCGATCTATGCGTGCATGGGCATCTGTGGCCATTGCGTGCACTGCCTCGGTCAGATGGAATGCCCCACGGGCAGACAGAGAGACGGGTGAGAAACTGCGCATGCAGTACGGTCTAAATTTGCCTAAGCCGAGTCGGCACTGAATGTTATTGTGTGCCGGTATTCGGCAGCACAGGTAGGCGTCGTCGAACATGCGCATAAGACGACTCGAGCTGGGCTCGCGAGAGGGAGAAAGGAGAGAAGTCGGACGAGGGACACGAAGCGAGTGGGCGGGAGGGTCGAGCTCGAGTCGCGGCCGACCGAGAGAAATCTGGCGGAGGGCGACGACGGTGAGTTGCCTGAAGCGGAGCAGGTGGGAGCCGGGGAGAGTTACGTAATCGGAGGCCCACGCGAGAGAGAGCGGTATAAGGCGTTGACGGCTGCACTGGTCTCAACGTTTCCATCATCTCCGTCCTCTCCCTTGCTCCCTCCTTCCCTCCACCATCGTCCCGTCGTCCTACACTCTCCTTTTGTAATCCTTCCCAGGACGTCCATCTGCTCTCCTGCTCTCTCCTAGCATATCATCAATCGCCTAGTCCGCTCCTACTCTAATCGACTGCCCTACACGACGTTTCACGATGCTCAATCGCCAGCTCTCATTGCTGGCCCTCTCTCTCGGAGCAGCATCAACAGCAGTTGCCCAGACACACAAAGCGGGCTCGTTTGAGGATGGTGGCCACACTCAGGTCAGCGCCATGATGGTACGTCTCCCTTTTTCATTTTTGTCTCTGCTACTGCGCGCGCGTCTCACGGCCCCCGTGCGTCCCTAACCTATCTCGCTCAACAGATGTTCTTGGGCAACCTCAACAAGGTCTACATCCTGGACAAGTCCGAGGCCAATGCCGCCAAGTTTGGCAACTATCCCGCCATGGGTGCCGTCTACGACATTGCATCGCGCCAAGCGACGACAATGTCCGTCACCACCAACGTCTTCTGCGCATCCGGCATGCATCTGCCAAACGGTTCATTTGCCACCTTCGGTGGTAATGGTGCCGTCGGCCCCGGCGGTAACATCGGTGACGTCACGCCTCCCGGTAACCCCTACACCGCAACTTTCGACACGACCTTCGGTGACTTTGACGGCACCAAGTCGATCCGTATCCTCGACCCGTGTGACGACGGCGACGATTTCTCATCACCCAACTGCCAATGGTTCGACAACGCGTCCCTCCTCTCCATGCAGGTTCAGCGTTGGTACTCCGCCGCGGAGCCTATGGGCAACGGTACGATCGTCCTCATCGGCGGTTTCTCGAACGGTGGCTACATCAACCGGAACTACCCCAACGTGGACCCTGCTTTCGAGGGTGGTGCCGCGACACCGACGTATGAGTTCTTCCCCTCGAACGGCCAGACACCTCAGACCATGAACTTCATGATCAAGACCTCTGGTCTGAACGCGTACGCGCACACGTTCCTCATGCCGTCAGGCAAGATGCTCGTCCAGGCGAACTACTCGACGAGTCGGTCTTCCTCATCTCTGCTTGCTCCGCCTTTTACTGATTCACTGACAATGCAGTGCTCTGGGATCCCGAGACGAACACGGAGACTGACCTTCCTGACATGCCCGATCAGATCGTTCGTGTCTACCCTGCTTCCGGCGGTGTTGCCATGCTTCCCTTGACCCCCGAAAACAACTACACGCCGACCGTCATCTTCTGCGGTGGTTCGAACATGACCGACTTCCAGTGGGGTAACTACTCCTGGCCCTTTGAGGACACCTGGAACGTTCCCGCGTCGAACAAGTGCCATACGATCACCCCCGAGCCGACTGACGGCTCTGTAGTTGAATACGTTGAGGATGATGACATGATCGTCGGTCGTACCATGGGTCAATTCATTGCCCTCCCCGACCAGACTCTCCTGATCGTCAACGGTGGCGCGAACGGTACTGCGGGTTACTCTACTCGTACACTCAACACCCTCAATCCGCCGTACGGCATGTCTCTTGCTGCTGCGCCCGTTGGTCAACCTGCTATCTACAACCCTCGCGCGCCGAAAGGTTCGCGTTGGTCTAACGCTGGCTTTGACACGTCGAGCATCGCGCGCCTCTACCACTCGTCTGCCATCTTGCTCCCTGATGCGTCCGTACTCATCGCTGGTTCCAACCCCAACGTCGATGTCAACACCACCACCGTCTTCCCTACCACCTACCAGGCCGAGGTCTTCTACCCATCGTACTTCGCTGCTACGAACCGCCCCACGTTCACTGGCGCTCCCAAGACCTTGTCGTACGGTGGTAACTCGTTCGACCTGACTGTGCCTTCTTCCGCGTACTCGGGCTCCGCCAACAACGCTGCGGATAACACCACCGTTGTCCTCGTCCGTGGTGGCTGGACTACCCACGCGATGAACATGGGTCAGCGTATCATGCAGCTCAACAACACGTACACGGTCAACAGCGACGGCTCGATCACCCTCCACGTCGCTCAGCTCCCTCCCAACCCCAACCTATTCCAGCCCGGCCCGGCTATGCTCTTTGTCACTGTGGCCGGCATCCCCTCCAACGCCTCGTGGGTCACCATCGGCACCGGCAACATCGAGACTCAGCCAACGCAAGCCGCCTCCGTCCTTCCCGCCTCAAGCCGTCTCGACGGTGTGTCCGGCAGCGGTGCAGGTAACAACAACGGCAACAGTAGCTCGTCCGGCAACAAGGCCAACAGCGCGTCGTCGTCACACACCGGCGCTCTGGTGGGTGGGATCATCGCGGCGATTGCGGCCGTTGGCATTCTCGGTGCGGTTTTCGGAATTTGTATGGCGCGGCGCCGGCGCGCAGCCGCGCGTCAGGCGTCGTCGCTCTCGTACCCTATGAGCTCGGCGCCTGGCGGGGCGGCTGGGTCTCGGACGGCGGGCGGGCTTGGGGCAGGATACAGAGGTTCTGACTCGAGCGCTTTCGTGCCGTTGCAGGGTAACGAGAGCACGACGTGGGGCCCGGGGCCCAACATGCACGCCGCGGGGGCGAGCGCGGTGAACCTGCACACGCCAAGTTCGCCGTACTTTGACGACCCGCGGAGCAACAGTACGGAGTTCGACCCGTACCACCAGAACGTGCCGAGGATGAGCGCGGACCAGAGGAGAGGGCCTTATTGAGGAGGGGGATAATTATGTGATTTTTTGCTGTCCATATCGGAGTGGAGTTGAGAGGAGGAGTGAGTGGAGGATGAAGTATAACACGCACGCTCTTGAGAAGGAAGAGGACGCATGGACCTTGGCTTCCGCTGACCCTACTACATACATCTCTGTCTTTGCCTGCACTCTCTTTGCACGTTGCTATCGCATCTCCCGTGTCGCTTCGCGGCTTGCGGTTGGGCGGGCTTGTTAGCACTCGCATCGCATTGCGTTACATGGACGATGATGGACTCTATCGCGATCACACCACACCACACTAGGAAGGCATTGCTAGCTTCTTTTTTCGTACTCACCCACCCGGTCATGCGGACGGCTTTCGCGACGCTGCCTCTCGCTGTTCGGTTTACGCTAATAGTGCTTGTAAGGGGCACGTCCGACGTTCCCGCCGTAGTACTTGTAGATAGTCTTGCGCGCCCGTGATGACTGTGACGAACTCCCCCCCCCCATCTATCTGCCCCTGTGGTGCTGGCGATGCTGCTGATGTTGCAGTGTCCTGCGCTGACTGTTGACTTTTTGGTTGTTTCGCGACTAGGGATACCTCGGCGTCCTACTCTGTTGTTATGTCTCTTGATTGCATTTCGTTTGTTTCTGCATGGTTGCCCTTCGTTACATGAAGTGACTTTTCTGCCTCCACTCACGACCGATACGTGACGCTCTTCGTGCTGCTGCGTGTTCTGATATTTGCTGTTGTATCTCTCCACCGTTTGCTTTTCTTTTCTGTCCGTTCCGTCGTAGGAATCTGTGACTTAGACCGTCTGAATATCAGTGTCTGGTCCCCTCAGATCGCAGCGACGCCTGTAGGAGAGTAGTATAGTACCCGGGCACGATTCGTCCCCGCAAGAGTATAGTCGTGACGTCAGCGCTGACGCGCGGAAGCGTGCGCGTTCCCGCGAGGCGTGGTGGGTGATGGCTTGGTGGCTATGTACGATCCCGGTTGGACACCAGGGATGCCTTTCTCGGTGAACCCGCGCAGATCCAGGACGCCATCGGACGTGCGGCGGTGATTTTTGTAACTACAACGTCACAATCGTATCCCTATAACACGTACGGCGTGGGTCGGAATAGGTCCATCATCCCACGTTCATCTTGACCCTGCACTTCATATCTCCTTCGTAAGTGAACAGCCTATCGTAACCACAGCTTCGTTCTGACACGTGTCTGCAGCGCAGCGTACGACGTACGCTATGTTCAAGTTAGGACACTCGAAGCACGCCGCCCCTGAAAGCCACGGCAAGAACTTGAAGCCTCACAAGGAGACCGTCGTCGTCGCGGGCCTGCCCGTAAACGTCTTCTCCGACCGTGGCGCGACCAAGCCGGAGACACCTGTTGCGGTCATGTTCTTGCTGCATGGTCGGACAGGATCAGCGAAGAGAATGGAGACGTACGTGAACGATTTCTTTGAGGAGATTAGGGCGCGGAGGAGCGCCCATAAGGGGTCGCAGGACCTGATTATCGTCACGATCGTGAGTTTGGTCGGTTCGCAGCAGCTCAGGACCACGCTGAGGGTCTTTCTTGCAGGACCAAAGGAACCATGGCGCTCGGATGGTCGACGAGCGCGCGAACATGGGCTGGTTCTCTGAACCAGAGAAGAACAACGAGCGGCACGCGTCAGTACCGTTACGCTCTGTGTGTATTCGCTCGGGGCTGGTACTCATCGTTCATGCGTATCCGTAGGATTGACATGTATGCTATACAAAGTGAGTACGCCAAGCTTCTCGGTCAGCCGCCGACGGTGATTCATGTCAACGCTCGTTGTGGCTGATCCTCTTGCGTTGACTCTGCAGCCGGGACAGCTCAAGACGTATCGTTCCTTATCGACTTTCTGCCTTCGTACCTCTTCCCGAATGGGGAGCGGACGATATCCCAGTGGCTGTGTGCGGGGAAAAGTCTGGGAGGTCATTCGACCTGGATCGTTCTCAAGAACGGTACGTGTCCCTGACCCGCGTCGCGGTAGGGGTTGCTCACGCAGAGAACAGACCCCAGGGTCAAGATTGGCATCCCGATCATAGGTGACCGTTTCGCGATGTGGCCTTGACACAGTTACTGACACCTCACATTTCTAGGATGCCCCGATTACCTCACGCTCATATCCAAGAGGGCAAAGGCGCACAAGCTACCAGTTGGCCCTCCGTACTTGCCAGACTCTTTGATTGAGCTCATCAGGCGCGCCGACCCCGCCGCAGCTCCCTACACGGCGACGGATGAGTCCAACCCGTTCCTCGGAAAGAAGATCCTGGTCTTGTCCGGGCAGGACGACAAGATCGCTCCGTTCTCTTCTTCGAAGGAAGTCGTCGAGAAGTTAAATGTAGGAAAGCATGGCTTGAAGGAGGTCATTGTCGAGCCGGGGGTAGGCCACGATCTCTCTCCGGCAATGCTCAAGGAGGCTGCGAGGTTTATTTGGGAGCAAGCACTCGTCGCCTGACTTGGGCCCGAATCCCCCGCAGGCTCATCGTTTGCCTTGCAAACGCTGTGATAGACTGAGTACGAGACGCACGTGACCAAGCAACGGTTGTTTTCGTTGTTTCGTACTTGGTTCCTTGTGTCCTCGACACCCTCAGTTTGCGTCTGGTTGTCTTTCTCATTCGTCTCTATTCATAGTAATCGAACAAAATGACGAGATGGAAAATTCCTGCGGTCAACGTTCAACTCCGCGACGGTAGTGACAAGTTGCAACCACCTGTAAGAACTTCCAGTAGCGCGGGGGAGAATACCGGTTGGATAAGTCATATTTGGCGACAGAGGTGGCCGGGGGCTGAGCCCCAGTGAAAACCCCGCCTATTGCCAAAGATTGCTGGCTGTTGCCGTCTGATGCCGTCTTTTCGGAGCGATTTAGATGACAGCTCGGCGTCTAAAATGGCTCGTTACATACATCGATTGGCTCGTTTTATATATACAATGGGCCGTTCTATATGTACAATGGGCCGTTTGACGTCGATCGATAGTATTAAACCGGTGTCCGATGTATATGTACTGTTCCATCCACATCTATCACATATATGCCTCCCTGTGTGCCGACCGACGGTTATCTCACCATAACCATTCTTGCCTGGCCTTCGATCTCGTCCCCAGCTCCTTCGTCCATGACGCCATTGGTGTTCGCGATGCTCTATATATAGTGGGCGAAAGCCGTCCTCCCATTGATGCATCCTTTCTTCCCTCCTCTCACCATCCCTTTCTGTCCTCGGTACTCTCAGCCACCGTGAGCCTCGCTAACAGGTAGGGTATCGCTGTCTGTACACGAAAACACAGGTGAGTGGGTTACTCGCTGTCACACAGCATACAGGTAAGCCGCGCGGGTGCAGCAACGCAGTAGGTTAGAGCACGTCGTGGTAGGTCACTGTACGCGGGCTTGGCACGATGCGCGGGCGCGGGGAGTAGCGTATTATTATGTAATGCGAAATTTGTATTGTAGAGTAACCACCCATAAATACAATATCCGTTCATGCTCGATCTGGTGCCCAAGCGCAACGAGCCCCAACTGTATAGGACTGTTGCACTCTGTTCCTATATTTTTGCCAGGCGTTCAATAGAGTGGAACATACAGATATCGGGCGAAAAAGATGCAAATAGACGGAGACAGACGGGAAAAGATGACGAACGGCAAATAGCTTTTTGTGTGCATATGGACGGATATCTATGCATTCACCTACATACATGTGGATATCTGACTACTTCTGCCTTTTGGGCGGACTGAAACGGGCCAAAAAAGATGAGAATCGTGAGCAACAGGGAAGGTTCTCACTGGGACTGACCACGAACCTCGACATCGCGTGGTGGACGTCGGCAGCATGTGACTTGCCTCTTGCGACTGGCCAGATGGAACGGGATAGGCGTCAAATCCCAATATTACAGGTCTAGCATTCGACTTGCCTGTTGACCACGCTCTCTTTGGTCTCCCTCTGCGACATGCATCTCCCCTGCCCCCTCGCTTATGGCCTCTTTTCCGTACCAATCTAGAGTCGGCTGTAGCGGGCCCCCCTGGCTAAATTGTGCGTGCCACAGGCCTTTGGGTCGTACGCGTACCGGTAGGCTCAAACGCCTCACGGGCCTCCCCCCTTCCTGATTAAGGAGCAGCCGCAAACCCCCCAAGCTTGTCTAGGATGCTTGGACGACGCGAGGCACACAGGTCAACGTGTGAGTCGCAAGGATTGTACGCGCGCATGAAGGCTCAATGCTCGCCTTCTCATTATGAACGATATCCATAGGTCCATGATCCATGCAGTCCAGGGCTGAACGTGTCTGTCCGTCGTCTGCACGCGTGGTTATCTCGGACTCGCCTTGATCTTCAATATCATGATATCTATGTGAAGCACGTTTGATATCCCTTTTGAAAGCCGAAGGACAGAGACGATGTGCGCCCCGAAGCCTCATCGCAGGGCACATATCCTGTCCCAACCGAGAAATCCTGTGGTGAAAGGTAAGCGTACCTCACGTTTCTCCCGCTGGGGATGACCTGACATGAGGATCCCTGTTGGCCAACTTAATTTCGAGGGCGCATGTGAAGTCGCGCATGACGGCTCGTCAACAATGCATCGTTATGGCGTCGTGGCCAGTTGAGAACTGCTGCAGGCGCCTCTCAATGTCCACAGCGTCCGCCATGAGGCAGCATACTTTCGCACTGTCTCCTCGTCCGATGTTCACATAGTCGTCCACCTTTAGTGCTTGTCCGCAGCTTGGAGGCGCGTACTAAGGTTAATGTCTCTCTCAAAGCTCACCTTGACATTTCCTAGCGAAGAGCCCGCGCTTTCGTGCTATGTGAATCGGGATATCTCGATCTCGTGGCTATCTACAGGGCTGCTGTTCCTCCCGGGACCAACACCGCTGGCATCCAAGACTCTGTACGACGTTGGGATATCTGTCGCGATGGTCCTGCAGGTCTTGCATATATAAGTTGAAGTTGGGACTCACAGGCTCCCCAAGGGCCGTCGACCTCTGCTCACAAACGCTCTCTACTCCTCTTTCCTGTAAAAACCGGAACTATGTCTCGGGAACTTGACCTCAAGGAGGTGAGTAAGTCGTCTAACGTAAGCGTCAGGATAACTAAAGCCTGCTCTTTGCAGCTGGCGACGCTTCCTTTGTTCAGTATTGTGTACACTCCCAACGCTCTTACCCAGCAGTATAAAAAGCTCGGAGATGGCTATTTCTATCCGAAATCCTGGTTGTCAGACAACGTGTTCGATATGCGGGTAAGTTGGTGCTATCGGCATTCACGTCGGGTGATTCTGATGCTTCAGCTTGCTAGCTCGATCAGGACTTTCCCGATGGTTCTCTGGCATGCCTTACAAGCGAGGAGCTCCCCAAACACTTCGTCAAGCGGGGCCCCTCGTGGTTGAGTGTCAATCCCTCTTGCAACGCGTTCACTCTTGACACTGTAAGATGCCATCTCTTCTACTGTGATCATGTATCTCATAGCCCGCCGCTTTTTTCAGCCCTTCGGACATCGCAGGGCTGAAATTGGGGCTAGTCCTGTGTCGAACAGCTCGCCACCGATCATTGACCAAACTCCATATCGAAACGGCAAGGTGCCTACAGGCGTCGATGCAATCGTCCAATTTGATGATGTCCCTATGTTATTCGCCGAAAAAGGGGATGTGTCAGAGAGCACATCTGACGCATTCACAGGAGAATTAGCTTCCAAACAGAAGGTGTCTATACGCTTCGGGGTATGTTTCTGATCCAGGATGACCCTGGCTCGCAGCTAACCTTCTGATCTCATAGTTCCCAAAATCTGGTGTTTGTGGCTACCAGGAAAAACAGCATAATATTCGAAGCGCGAATGGAGTGGGTTTCAGCCGCGGCAAGGTGGCGGCTCTAGTCGCCCGAGAAGTCAGGTTGCTGTTGGTGAGTTCCTGGTGTCATGTCTTCTCGCGAAATATTTGGACGGCCAACAACGTTTGTTTAGGACAAAATGCAGAGCCACAACTGTCCGCTCAGCTTTAAAGGCAAGCCGGTGGCCCTCGAAGATCTGGTCCTGGTCGATGTCCGGCATGTATCGCCAGTATCCATACAGCCTACGATTGCGGTTTTACCACAAAAGTATCTGTAGGCCCGAAGCTATGGACACCTTCGAAAGGCCGGCCCGAGGGGACACCAGCTGTCTTGTATTGGCGTGCATTCTCTCATTCTATTCTTCCATACCGTGCTTCCTTATGTCCTTATCTAGTTCGCCAGATCGAATGTCTATCAACTAGTATCTAGGTCGCGTTTCTGCATATGTCATTGGCGTCTCCGTCTTGTTCCTAGCTCTCCTTCATATCTATGGTTTTGTCACGTTGTAGTAGCATCGAGCTTGGTCTCTGGCCCTATCCCCTGTCCTTGACATGACTGATACGAGTCTCACTATATGTTATGCGAAGGTCGACTCCAAGCGTTTGCATTCTTATACCCTAACGTTCCGTGTCGTGATAGTTCATAGGCATTAGATTCTCAGCAGTGCGTGAGGTGTCGTAATAATCCATTATATTTCCGGCTGTATGCGCTGTACAGCGTCGCACTGTGCACGCAGCGCGCGACTTATTCCCCCGAGCCTGGACGGTGTCGACTCGCGCAGAAATGTCGATTGCCTCCCCTGGATTGAGTACTTGCAGATATCGATTTGCGCTCGGTCGCGAGAGCGCTGACATTCCCGGTACTCGTGCTTATGCGTTCAATGGCGGCAGAGAAGCGCCAGTACATCTCTAGTTATCCACGGATGCATCCGTCGGTCGTAAATTCGGAATTGCGGATATCGTCGACGCGTCCAAAGCGTATCGCGATATAAGATGGGAAAGGTCAGTGGTTAGCGTTGATTGTATCAGCGTCTTCACATTCGAACGATGATGTTGTTGTTGACGTCGAGCCATTACACTAGGAAGCAGGTACCACTCTTCGGTCCTAGGGTCCTCCGTATCCTTTAGTAAACAGGATCAAGAAGAAGCTTATGGTAGTTGCCATCGCTCACGGTCTTGACAAGAAAATCACGGGCGGGGAGGGCGTCGTCAGGCATCCCTCAGCCGGGTGCGTTCCGAGGAGCTCTGTTCGGAGCTCTTGGAGGCTCTTCTGCTCGACCCTAGGGCTCCTCGAGAAGGTCCCTTGGGATGGAATGATAAGCAAGTCCCAGGTGCGTTAGATCGCCCTTGTCGATGGTTCCACCGTATCCCATGCAACGTCAAGCTCGTCTCAGACTATCAGCGGCAAGGAGCCCAACAAATCGTCACCAAAGCCCGGCGCTCGCGACATATGAAGGTTTTACCCAGACAACAGTCCGGATCCTCGGTGGTACCTCCGATCCACCACCAACAACTCGCGCTCGCCGCTCGTACCTCCAGTTCGTCACTCAGGTCCCGTATGAATAGCTCCTGCGCCCGGTCCTTAGACCTACTTCCAGTCTCTCTGCGTGAACGGCTTGTACACGCAGTCCAATTTCAAGGTTACGTACGCGGCCAAGTACACTTCCACGGACCGCAACAGAACCGTGACGGTTTATGTAGAGGATGCGAACAACCTACAGGCGACCGGCTAGCAGGAGCTGAGCAATGAGGCCAACGTCGCCTCTAAACAGCACGGACATCTATCTCGGTCCTCGGCTCCTACCTCAAATCCATCACGAAGGCACCGCGCTCCGGATAAAGGCCGTCATCCCACTCACACTCTATCTGATGATGGCTGGTCGCAGAATGATGAAGAGAAGGAGAGATGCGCTCCCTCCGACATGGCGACATGTACTGACACCTCAGCTCTGGAGCATGTCGCGCGTACACACATATTGGGTGCGTAGTCTGCCAGATGCCGACGTACCTTGTGCTGTGTCCTCAAAGTGCCTTTCCCTGCGCTCTGATAGCGCCTCCCTAAACCTCTGGCCCTGATGTCCTATCGGGACTCTTTCAACTCGTGATCTTTGCAAATCGAGGCACGCCGTATGTGGGCAGATAGCTCAGAGAAGTCAGTGTGGAGAAATATGGCGAGTGGAGAAGGCGGCGAAAGCAGACGCTATTGTCGGTGGTGGCTGCGCTGAGAATAGTGTCTGCAGCTGAGTATGATATCAGGTGGATGTCGCCACGTAACTTGTTATAGGCGCTCACTGCAAAGTTCAAGCTCAAGCTCTGTCCTGCGTCCGGGTGACTGACTATGAGACTGCTCTCTCAAGGCACGTTGAACAACACCCACAGGGCTTTACAGCAAGAATGTTGTACATATTCAGCGGAGAGAAGATGTTTGCCACGTTTGGACCACATTATGCGAGTGGTATATTATGTGATCTCATTGACTTCAAACGTACGCGTGTTGTACACGTGCTCTGGCGGCGGATATCCAGTGAGTCATCCTGCACACTCTCTTTCATTAGCGACTCAGTTACCGTCACTGGCGGTTCAGTTATCCTCTTGTGCGCAATTCCATCGATCATCCAGTTATTACGGAGACCCGCTCTAATGGTATCCTTGCCCACCGCTATGCGTTTGAAGTCACGCCCTGTGACTTGAATGCTGGTAGCCTCAAGTACTCGTACAAGGTCTGTTGCTCCTTTATTATGCTGGCCATCGGGTCCAATCTACTGTCCTCGCCGTACTACACATCTTCCCCTGCTCGCTTTGCGATGACACCGACTTTGGTGTATCTTCCATCTCAATCAGGAAACTTTGCCCCTCTTCATTGCGACAGTGGTGAGTGATCGCGGTCATGAGGACTTGATGCCTGATCTCAAATTCCAGATTCCAAGGTGTGCACGGAAGGCTCTCTTGATGTCGCTCGTCCTACGGCCGTCTGAGCATCAAGTGCAACGTGCTACTTTGGCACTGCTCAACAGGCGACGTTTCAGAATGAGCGAAGATGGCTATTGTATCCTGTGTGTCCTCAGATGGCACAAGCGGCCACGCGCAACGAAGGAAGCCGGCACGGGATCGAAAGCGAGGCGAAATATGGTTCAGGGTGGCTCATCCCACTCGGTCCTCAAATCCGCACGGGAATGGCGTCCTCGCCTACGCGAAGTACATGAGATGAAGTCGTCGGTCATATCCCTCGGACTCTCTGCCTATGTTCATGGATTGAACGGCTATCGCGTAAGGGTCCTCTCCTCTGTTCCATACTATTGCTGCTGAGCAGACAGCGATCATTATCTGACACTGAGGCTGCTTTCAGGTTATCGAACAGGTTCCGTATAATGACGGAACCAGAAGGCAAAGGGACCTGTGCAGTATCACGTTTAACGTGGCGTTATCTCAAGCGAATGAGGGGAACTTTCGCGGAGCGGACCTACCAGCCTTCGTCTATCTGGCCTGCCAGGCGCTCCCGGAAGACCTTCATATTCACGTTCATGTGCGTGCTGGACATCCTCCTCAAGCAAGTATGCGGTCGTCAGCTGACAAATTCATTGGCTCGTGGTGCAGCTCGTAGGGTTGAGGAGTTCGGACTTGCGGCAAGGTGTATCGTTAGGTGGCGGTTGTGTCACGAAGGGTGATCTCGCGCGAAGGATCGCGATGGAAGTGACTGCGATTTTGGTCAGTATGTTTCAAAGATCATCTCGCGCAATTTGAGCAATACCTCACCGAGATTGTCAGGACACCATCAAACGGAGTAGTCAGATCCAGTACGAGGGCAGGGATGTGAGCTTAGAGGACTTGTTCCTAGTGGACGTGGTCCAGAAATCCCCCAAGTATGTCCAGCCGACTCTCGCGTTGCGCGTTGTTCCGCAGTGGGATGGCCACGCACCGGGAAGCCTAAACCCAGTCTAAGACTATGTCAATATGATGGGACGCAGGCATGATCGTGGCGTATGTGCGCAAACGTCCATGCAGTATCACACATCCTCTCATTAGGTGAAATGCCCTATATAAATGATCGGAAGACGAGTGTGTTCGACTGGCTGCTTCTGCCCTACACTCTTCTACCGCCTCGGTCTACGGATGGCTAAGAATATTGGTTTGCCGGCCTATCCTTGAGTATCATTATGGGCGATAATGGTTGTCCTATGTGGAAACGAGGACGGCGTTCCTCTGATCTTCTGGAAAGGCGAACGTCGCCGAGAAGTTGAATCTAGAATGCTGGGAAACAGCGACGTTTCGCCGGGATAGAGGCTACGGAATTCATGTGGGAGCATGTGGTCGTCGCCTCAGTCGTATCTGGGTTTTTGCACGTAGACTATGCATTGTTGTCTCGACCACAATAGGTGAAGCTGCGCAAGCCAACAATAGACAAGGCCATAGTGCTATAAATTTGTCATGCGCAACGTCCCGACGACCATCTACGGTACTTCGACCGCTACCCCTTGTCCACAACTCAGTGGCCTCCTTCACCTTTACCTGCTACAGCATGTCCTGGACAGATCCTTGGGTAAGACTGAGACCCGTCATGGACAATGTGATAGGACTGACCGGTGCAAGACTCCAATACGCATCACGTTGGCGAGCACATTGAGTCCAGAAGACAAGCATCTCGATGAGTGTGACTTCCTTGGTCTTCTCCGCAACTATCGGGCTGGTGACTTGGATAGTGGACCAGTCTGAGGAGACAATCAGCGTGCATAACTACAGTATGCATCCGAAGCGCCGCACCTAGGCTCCACGTGCCGAACGCCCAATAACTGTAAGTAGTCACAACAAAACGTCTATAGTGGTACTGCCTGCAGATGTCGTGGAGCTACGAACAGAATGATATCAGTCCGGTATATGGTAAGGTCTGCCGTGCAACGTACTGCTGCGGCTAGCTTTGTCGAATTGAGCCACCCAGGGTGTTTCGCGTTGTCCCGATCAATCGCTCCGTCTTCGTACTGTACATTGGGTCAGCTAATCTGCGCGACATAGCTAGCGGGGAGTTGCAACACATACCGCGCCAGAAGCAGTAAATTCTTCGAAATCCTCGGGGCCGAACATCCACGGCGGCAACGTGATTATCACGATGCCCGGTGTCACTGTACGTTCAATCTGTGAAAGGGAAACCCTGAGGTTTGTGTTACTCCGTCGAGTAGCGAAGATGAACGCACCTCAGGAGACCGATTTGGATACAAGAGACTCTCTAGCGGAGGGCCAAAGAGGTAGTATTTGAGCAAGTCTTCGCCGCTTGGTATGACCGCGAATTTGAAGCGCTCAAAATGGTACTTGGCGTAGCGGTTGTCGAGCGTAGACACGCCATCGATCGCGCGAACGGCGGCCGCGGCTGTCTCGAAGGGGAAACGCTGGAGGTAGTGGCGGAAAGAGCATTCGTCGGTAACATCGAGCTTCGCTCTTGCCTCTTTGTCCCATTCCTTGATGGCCGGAACGGGCAAAGTGACAGCATTGAGGTCCACCTTCACTTTGTCAATGACGGGACGGACTGATGGCACAATGGTTAGGGTATAAGAAGCGACCGTCCGGAGGTACAAAGACAACGTACAGCATTTGACCGCCAGTTCGAGTTCACGAAGAGGGAGTTCTTCTACCCGCTGTAGCTGGCGGTGCATGCCCTTCGATAGACTGAAACCTTCACTGTCCGGCCAGGAAGCACCGCGCTTTGGAGTCAGGTCTGGATCGATGTTGGCGGGTGGGAGAGCAGCCTTGGACAGGTAGAGAGGGAGAGAAATGTGGTCAGCGGCGTTGTGAGCCATGGGCAAATGCTGCGAGAGAAGCGAGTGGAAGGATCTGAAGATGATAGGGGAACATGGAGACTTTATAACGCTGGCAGGGTGCATAGGCCGAAACGTGGAGATTGACAAAGGCGCGTTGAGCACAGGCCGACATGGTTCCATCGTGACGACAACGTGCAGTGATCAGTGGCTCATGGACAATTGAACATGACTTGAATCCTGACAACCAAATCGGAGACTGCTGCTAATCCTTTGGCCGTCGCCCTCAATAACATCGCCACTCTGCCTCAGCCAGATGCACAAATCTGCAGAGTCGAAAGCAACGCATGGATATCAGCACGACAGATGATCTGAGACAATAGCACGAGCAAGACGATCACAACCACGTCCGAAACCACTACAGTCTCTTCAAGCTCTCCAATAACACATTCACGCCTTTCCCGCCCGCATCCTGTATCGCCTTCCTCGTCTTCGCGTCAAACCATCCCTTGACGGTCTTCCGCTCCTCAGTCTCCTTCTCGTCGTGCTCCGCAAGCTGCTCGCACAGCGCGGCGACGACGAACGCACCGTCGCCTTGCGCCATCGCGACGGTGTTTTCTTGCCCCACGCGCTGCACGAAACGCACGGCAAAGTCACGGGCAGACCAGCGTGGGGCACGCTCGACTGTTCGTGAGCTGTGCGAGAAGTGCCCGCCTTGGAGGAGGGTTTTGTAGAGGCGAGAGGTGTGTGGGAGCGTGATTGGGTGTGGGTTGGAGAGATCGATGGAGGGGTAGGGGGTAGCGAGGGCGGAGAGGAGAGTGTCGGAAGTGGTAGATTTATCTGCGAAAGTGGATTAAAGTGTGAGGTGAATGCAAGAGAATATCATAGCACGTACCACCTTCGGCTTCTAGCATCACCTCAAGGACAACTAAGCTTCCGCCTGGATCTCGCGAAACGTCGGCGCCCTTCTCTGCTATCCAGCTGAGCAAGCCTTCACTTGAGGCTTTGCGAATCTCCGAGGCACGTAACGCATCGTCCTTTTTACTGGTTTTGGCTCGTATCGTGTCGGTCTCGGCTAGCGTCGCGATCTGTGCGGGAGTGAAGTGTCGTCTTGTCCGAGGTGCGACGAGGTAGAATAGCGCACGTCGGCCTTGTGGCGAAGTATATAACGCAGGGGCAGCGGCGACAATGTCTGTTACGAGTGACTTCGCGGTCAGCTTTGTGTCGCTGGTGAACAGATTAGAACTATCAACGAGCAAGAGCTATGATAACAAGCTCACTCGATAACATCCAACGATGTGAACAGGACGAGCTGGGCCTCGTCATCTTTGCACATTCGCTCGATGTGAGGCTTGATCGCCTTTACGATGTGTTTCCGATCCTACCGTAACGAGTCAACAAGATGCGTTTCCTGGCAAGCGGCCGCGGTTACCTTTGCGGTTCCCCGTACGATGAACTCGCGGACGATACGGCTGCCGTCTTTTGTGTGCACCATCTCAGCGAGCACATCCTGGCAGCTACGCATCATACCGGTCAGCGCCAGCCACAGGACTGCGTTGGTACTCGTGACTCACGTCTCGAAGAGTTCGCGCCGGAGCTTCTCGGCTTCGGCTTCATCCTCCATCTCGGACACGGCGGCGAGATACTCCCATGCCGCGCGGTGGACAATGGCATGCGCGACAGCACCCTTATCTGGGTTGTTGAAGCTGACGATGCCCATGAGCATTGGCGAAGCGTGGGGACGGCGGATGTGGCACTCACATGGTGACCAGATTGTCCTTCAGCGCAGCCAGGACGCGTTTCTGCCGGTCACTCTCGAGGCCCTCCATGAGTCCCCTCAGACCGCGCTTGGATCGTTCCTTTTCTTCTTCGCTCCCAGCTGTGACCGTAAAGAGGCTGGCTTCCTTGCCATAGAAATCGCGCAGCAGGATCGAGCGTTCGTATGCATTGGCGTAGAGTTCGAACGCGTCAGCGAGCACGCCCGACGCCTCGCGATGCAAGAGTAGTCGGAGGACGCTCCCTTGGAGTTCGCGCAGGATAATTGGTCGATACGAGGGGCAAAGACGGATAAGCTTCGTGACCAGGAACTGAACATGGGCGTGCGCTCAGCAACGAGTCTGAGGCTCAGAGATCATCAGAAGCGCACCTTCGAATACTTGCTCTGCGCAAGGTCCCGATACCGCCCCTTCAGTTCCTCGGCGATCTCATTCCGCTCTTTCTGGCCCCCGTACTTGACCGCAGTCTGGACAATGCGGCTCGCGTCGTGCTTGAAGACGATGTCCTTGACCTTTCCGCGAATGACGTCCATGAGTGCGGTCAGGTGCTTCGTGCGCTCGGCCTTGGATATATTTTTCTGACGCGCGAGCGTCCAGGCGCGTTTTGCGTCGGTGAGGAGGGCGGAATGGGGCTTGGCAGATTTGCGTTGTTCAAGCAGGGCGCGTTGTGCTTTGTGTGACTCGCGCGCAGCTTTTTTCGGTCATGCGAGAGAGGTCAGATACGACGAGCAAGACTTGCAAACTGTGAGGCACACCGTTAGGGTCCTTGGCCGACTTCTCCGTTTTGTCTATCTCGTCCCCGGCCTGTTCTTCGACTTCGCTGTTCTCTGAGGACGAGAACGTCTCAACTATATCTTCTTGATCATCGGAAGTGTCTGCACTATCCTCTTGAATATTGCTCGTGACGGGACGACTTCGTTTCTTCGCCTTGGACTCGGAGGACTTCTCAAGATAGGGTTTCTTGGACTGGGGCGCGGCAGCTTGGGACGTTGCCCCGCGCTTCTTGGATCCTTTGCTGACGGCAGCAGGCATGACCTGTGATGCGTTTTGGAAGCAGGGGGCGCGGGGAAGGGGAGGATGTATGGCAGGAACAAGCAGGAGATCCGCTCAGCGTTTGTTACCGCAGCCTGAGCGTCTCCCAAAAATTATGCATACAAGATATCGGCGTTAACACTGCCATATGCGGTGCTATGCGTGTCCACCTGCCGTCGACGTCCGTCGTTCCCAAGTTCGACACAAACTTGAGCCCCTGGGCCCTCACAAGATCCACGCGGACATGCGCTGACATGCGGAGGGTATCTACTGAGCTCAGCTGCAAGCCCGCCTGTGTAAGGAAAGGGACGACTTGGACTAGTGCGTCCATGCTCCAAGTTTGCCATGATGTAGTTGATATATTGAAACAACACAAGCAGCATCGTAGGACTTGCACTAATACATCATTGTGATACAAGGACAGGGGGCTTGAATAAAGCGTCACGCTGGGAGCTCCTTTCACTCGTACCACCACCTACGGCAACTTTCCCACGATCGTCAGCCAATAGGAGCGGGCTACGTCGTGCGGTCAGTTATCCCTCTGGGCGACGGCCTATAGCGTACATGAAACAGCAGCAATACATACGGACAGCAGGATGCCCCAGGACGCTACCAGGCGAGGACCGGCAGCATCGCCACAAACCGCCTCGCAGACAAGAAAGACATCGACAACTGTAGCGACAGGCGCACCGCCTACCAAGCAACTGCGGTCCACACCGGCTACAGCCACCTTTACGGCAGCGGTGGACAAGATTCAGACCATGGACGAAGCTCTCGCTGTCTTGCGGAAAAATCAGATGGTACCGGCGGCTGGAGAACCCATGGCGGAGGGCCTCATCACGGGCCTTCATCATGTAGGAGTGGGACTCTCAGGGAAGATGGCATGGGCGTCGGAGTGTTGCATAGCATTAGCCGTCTATGCCAAGGCGGTCATAGAGAGCGCGGTAAGCAAATCATTGACGGAAGCTGTACTCACCCGCTTTGAGTCGCAGACGAAAGAACTCATCGGCACCCTGGAGGCGAGGGTGGCCGCCGCTGGCGACCATATTGCTGAACTCGCAAACGAGCTGGCAGGGGTTGCGGAATGCGCAAAGGAGAAGATCGAAGGGGCTGTAGAGAACATTCAGGAGGCAGGATGCGCAGGCCTCCCCCTCGGTGAGTCGTCACCTGTCTCTCTCCCTTTCTCCTATGCGGAGGCTGTAAGAGCAAGCCTCCCGGGTACCACACGAGCTGCGCAGTTGAGTGTCGTAGACCGGGAGAGCATCCGTGCACGACAGATCCTTATTGATGGCTTCCC